GCTTCGAAGGTAATCGGGGAAGTCGTTGATCCTTCACTGGTTGATCATCTTTGGTCATGTGTTCCAACGCTAGCAGTGTCGCTTGTCTTCGTTCTTCTCTCTTAATGGTGTAATTCAGCCTGTCGAGAATCTTCTGCTTGGAACCTGCGGTTGACACTCCAAGCCATTTTGCTGCTGCGCGTAGATCTTTCATCGCCGAATAGGGACTCAATGTCATCTCATTCACAACCACTTCTGTTGCCACTTGCATTGGCTCACATTCTTCTTTCTCTCTTGACGCCAATGCTTCATCTTGATGTTGTTCTTGAAGTCCAAGCTCACGTCGTGCTCTTGCTTCTTTCTCTGCTTCTCCAACCATTGGGTTCAATGCATCCTCGTCCACAATGTCGAAGAGTTTGTCGAAGTCGAAGTGGTCTCCACTGGCTATCGTCAAAATCAGCCAGATGCTGCCGCCACATTCCGGGATGTTCTCGGACATGTTCTCCTTCTTGGAAATGTCTTCACAGAATTCAACCATCTGCCGTCTCCGAACTGGTCCGGGAAGTTCATTGAGTTCTCGGATGAAAGTACTTCTGAATGTGAATCGTTCACCCCAAGTCGTCTTGGTGTCATAAAACTTGTTTGACAAAGTCTTGATGAAAACCATCTCTTCATCACAATGCCTCCATAGATTGTTTGGCTCTGTCTCGATGCCATATCCTTCTCTTGGACCATCATGCGGATCTGATGCTCATCATCTTCTTCAGCTTCCATGTTCCCTTTCTTGATCTTCCTCACAGTGCCTTCAATGGCTGGGGACATGCCACGAGATGCAACTGGGATTGCTGTTTCTCGGTCTGGTGAGCATAGTAGGAGTTTGTTCTTCTGGTTCTCATCATGGTTCAAAGTCCAACCGCTCTTCAGCAATTGCCCAAGGCTCAGCAAACAACTCGTGACTTCTCCAACTAGGAATTTGTGACGAAGTGTGACCATCTCGCCATTTGTGTCCATCACTTCAATCTCTGTCTCTCGAGTTCCTGCTACGTTCAATCTTCTTCCTTGTCAATCTTGTAGTCGATGTTGGTTGCCAAGATCTCTGTCCTCCTTGTAGAACTTCTTGGGAGTAGGCTTACATCTGAACCACTGTCCAGGATGATTGTCTCCAAGTCCTCTTCTGGGATCTCTTCAAGAACTACTCGAACTCGTTGGTCTGCTCGTCCATGGGAATGAAATTCATCAGTCATGAAATTTCCATTGTCATCGATGTCGAGCTTGTGGTTGAACCATTGATGGAAGTCATCGTCCCATGTCGTTGAAGTTCGGGTTGAAGTCGTCAAGAGGTCGTCATCGATGATGTAGTATTCTGTCTCGTGATCTGTGATCTGAAGCATGTTTACTTCTCCTTCGAACTCTGAACTGCCAATGTCGTAGACTCTTCTCACTGTCGACTGCGATTGTGTAGACCTGTAGGTCGAGTGAGGATACGCAATCGTGCTCTGAGTTGAACCACTTGTCACTGAAGTTCCACCTCCTTGTTGTCCTTGTGGTGCAATAGGTCGCTGTGTCTGCTGTTGCTGCACTTGGTTCACCTTCTGTGGACAATCTCTTGCCCAGTGGCCTGACTGGCCACAAATGTTGCAGTTGCTACCTCCACTGTAGTTCTGCGTGTAGTTGGCGCTGCAGCTCTTTGATTTGCCTTTACCTTTCTTGTCTTTGCTCTTGCTCTTGCTCTTTCCTTTGCTCTGTCCTTTGCCGCGTCCTTTGCCTTTGCCACGGCCTTTGTGACTTCTTCCACGACCACCAAATGGCCATGCTCCTTGCCACCAACTGCCTTTTCCTTTCTGCTTGCCTTTGTACTTTCCTTTGCCTTTACCTTTGGCTTGCGCTCTGTCTACTTCCATTGGCGCCAAACCATTGTCTGTGCTTGCTCTTCCGGGATCTTGGATCTCTAGCTGCTTGAGGATTTGCTCTTGTGAGAAACTCTTAGATGTTCTCTCATAAGCAAGTAGTGCTTCTCGTACATCGGCATAGGTTGATCTATCGCTCAAAAAAGTTGTAGATGTTCTCTGAGTTTCTGAGGCGCGCACCTGATCAAAGTTGCTGTTTTCAAATCACAGGGATATGTCTCCTTGCTCGTCTGCTCATACTGGTTCGCCAGCTGTTCATACTGCAGGATGTTCTCCAGCATGGAGATCTTGTTGTTGAAGTTGGGATACTGACCTAAGGTTTGAGCTACCAATCGCAAGTGATCTCTGCCTGGTTGCTGGAAGGAATTCTCGGCACATCTGAAACCAAAGCTTGAAGCCGTCCTTGTGCTGTTGGTTGGCTCTGACTAGTTGCATGCATCTTCCTCGAAGATATGAACTCAAAACCGCAAAGACATTGTTGGCCAATGCTGTTTGCTCTGGCGTGTAGACCGTGTGGTCAGGTTCACTTCCTTGCGCTGTCTTCATCAACAAATCTGTAAATCGAGCGTCACCAAAACTCAGCCAGGATTCAAACTGGAGTTTCCAGGATGAGAAAAGTAGAGGATCATCTCCAGTGAACGTGTCTGGACTTTTCCAAATCTTTGTTGCACTCTCAAGACCTTGTGCTGTTGAACCTGAGGCTTCGGCAAAAGCTTGTGTTGCTTCTGTTGCCGCTTGCCCTGGCGCTTGCCAACTGTGACATCTGTTGTAGGATTTGTTGTGTCTCCATGCCGTTTGCTGTGCTCAGCATTGCTACCATCATGAAAATCTGAAATTGCCGTTTGTTTGCCATGCGACCCAAGTGGCTTCTCCTATTTTCTTTTCTTCTTTCCCTTTCACTCTCACTAACAGCCATTGTCTGTTGTCCAGCCTGGAGCTCGTTCTCTTTCTTCCAAACCATGGGCTGCAACCACCAGCCCAAGCATCAGCAGCGCCATCATCTGCCACCTGCACTGGATGGCCAAGCTCAAGCAAATCATCTCGAAGATCTTGTCGTTGATCTTCTCCGTGGGATCTCGATGTAGTCCACCATCTGCTCATTGAAGTTCACCATGATGCTGCTTTCTTTCTTCTTCTGGCACTTCTTGATGTCAAAGTTCAGGGTGTAGTTTTCCTTCTTGTAGGTGACATTCTTCTGCTGGTCGACCATTCGTTGCTGGATTCGCCCATCCAGCTTCTCCTCCTTTTCCATGGTGCTCCTTTTCCTGCGCCATGTCATTCTTTGTGATGAGGTTCTTCTCTTTCTCTTTCTCCTTGAGTGAGTTCCCATCTGCCTCACTCCATTGCTGAGCCCTCAGCTCAGTCATGAGCACCATGGCCTCAGCATTCTTGCAGGACTCTTTCTCTTCATTCTCCTTGCCGTGAACTCCATGTCCAAGGCTGGCGCTCTTCTTCTCCATGAGGTCCCCCTTGACCTTCTTTTCCTCCTTCTCTTTCACTAATTGCCACCATGCCTCACTGGGCGCCATTGAACTTCTTCCTGAAATTCTCCATGTCGTAGTGCCACCATTACCATCATCTGAGCTCCTCCAAACTGTCCAGGACAAAGTGTCGCCAAATGAACTGCTCGTTGAGGTTGTCCGGGATGTAGGTGCCCTTTCCTGAGAAGCCCTTCGTGCCATCGAGCTCCTCAGTGTCATAGGCCCTGTCGAATTCATCGTCAGCTGCCCTGGGATCATCTCATTGGGCTTTGCTTCAGCCATCAGGTTTGACATCACCTGTGGCTCTTGTCCGCTCGTGGCCAGCATGACCACCATCGCCATCACCATCCATGGCTTCGCGCCCTCATGACCGTAGATTGCCCACGGTCAATCCTCGGGCTCCGCTACCATGTCAAAACATGGCTGCAGTCTTTTCCTTTGGGCAGAAAAACCACTTCAGTCGAAGGTTTGTGAACTGTACATGCTATGCATGATCTAGGCAAAGTAAATCTCACACTTTTTGACTTTTTGCGAAGCGTTTACACGTTGAAGCACTAATTGTTGGCCCGCGAGTTGCTAGCTTAGCCAGCCTGACACGCTGTTTGGAATCTTGATAAGGCGCTTCCCAATCTCCCTGAAGAGTTCTCGGCGCTACGAGCAGTAGGACAGCAAAATCTGATCTGAGCGTCTTGTCAACTGGTATTACGAAGCGCTCCACTCCTCAAAGCATTTCGACTCGTTTGTCACGCTTGAACGCACTGTCCAGTCCAAAGCTTGCAGCACCTCGTCAAGGCCATCTGAAGCATCAGGCACTGTCTACGCTGGACTCGTCGCCAGGCTGCCCCTTGCAAACTTGTGAGCGAATTCAGAATTGCGCCCTTCTCCTTGCCACCGCCTGCTTGCGCTTACACAGCACGATGAAGTCTACGGCGAGAAGCTGATGGACCATCCGGTGGTGCGCGTCGCCAAAGGCCGTTCGAACACCCGCCCTTGAGGCGAGTCAAACTTGGAATGTACGGCGACAATTCACATTGGTCTTTTCGGAAGCCTGGTTGCCGGTTGCCACGTGTTGGAGTGCCCGGTGCTTTTACATCAAACGCACCACTCGACTTAAAGAGAACGCAGCTAGATCAAACATATCCACAAAAGTAGTGGCTTTTGGGAATCTACCGTAAGTTTCTCTTCTTTGACTTGGATTGGACACTTAGAGCGTTTGCCTGCAGCAGACCGGCAAGTGAACCCAGACTACCTCTTCCTATAGGTCTAGGTCTGATCACAGTCTGAACACTTCAGGAGGGCCAATACACTTTGGCAAATAAAGCACTCTGAGTCTGACAGACTTTTCTCCCCTTGTTTGCGAGGAAAGCGACAGTGGCCGAAGCCATGTTTTCGCTATTCGGATAGTTTTTTGGTTCCAACTCACACATGTGTGTCCAATCCTTGGCCAAGCCGACCGCAGGTTAGGGAGTGGCAGGATTGATGTGGCATGGATCCTTTGCCCCTAGCCCCAGCAACACAATTGCTCAAACCTAAAAGCAATCTCGACGAAGCTGAACGAAGATATCCAAAGTCTGCGCGGAAAAAAATGGTTTCAGATGTTTCAGTAGACTTCATTTCGCCAAGTTCTTCGCACCTCAGCCACCTTAGCCATGTCCTCAGCAGTCTCTACCTGAGCAGATCGTGTCGCGGAGCATGACACTAACAGTTCCGCACTCCTTACAGTAGATACGCCGCCTTCTCCGGAGATGCTGCCTTCTCCGCTTCCTCCTGACTCTCCCACCTTCTGTGTATTGATTGAAACAGCGGCATGACAAGGGAGCAGCTCCATGCTCCAACACAACATGATCCAAAAATCCAATCGTTGTGGGACAAGTCCTCTTCTTCAGAAGGCAGTGGTGTCCCAGGGTCCAAGACTGCCTGCACACGCTGACAGATCAAACATCTTCAAAAGTGAAAGTGAACTGCGTCAAAACCAACTAGAACTGAATAACCAAGGCCTCCTCGGAGTCGTCATCATCGCCAGCCTGGACATGGATCCCAGCTTGATGAGGAAAAAAAAATCCAAAGAAAACAGTTTAAAAGCAAACAGGTGTTGCTACTTTCGCAATTACATTGCTACTCGCTGCAAATGGATTCCAAAACAACACCTTGTGAAATCAAAACGCTTGGAAAGCTTTCGAACACAAACATTTGCCCTTTATCCGAGATCTGGAACGCCACTTCTACTGTTGCCGGTCACGCCAGCCTGCGTGTTCGCTGCTACGTCATCTTCCTCCACCTGGTTGTGAGCCCCACCCCATATGTAACAATTAACCACCGCAGAAGCTCTCACAAATTCAGGAAGATGTCAGTGTCTTCCATCCAATTCGATTTTTGTTAGGTCCAGCCTCGTCCCTCCAACCTGCCCGCTGGCGCTTTGTCGAGGCCTACACCACGCCAGCGCAACGCAAGAAGAAACATCCACGTCACTTCTCCGATGCGCCCTTGGCCAAATAATCGCTGGCGCTTTTCAACTTTGTTACTCTGGCAAGGAGTGGCAGCTTACATTCAGCCGCGGAAGTCGCGGCATAGTAGAAAAGATTTGCGTTAGTGTTTCCCAGCGGAAACGCGACGCCAGAAGGGGGGTTCCCGGCATAGTCCTTGCAAAAACAACCTTCCCGTATGGAAACGCATTGACTTAGCCATGACGTCAATCTCCTTGTGATCCCTTGACATATCATTGGACAAAGCTCTGGACACTTCACTTAAGTCACAGATGGTTTTCTTATTTTCTTGATGGTTTTCTTATTTTCTATTTACTTATTGCTTTTTTTGTTTGTTTTCTGTATTTATTGTTTTCTTTCGTCTTTCCTTTATGTCTTTCGCTTTCTTTCTTCTTCCTTGTCATTCTTTCTTCTTCGAGTCTGTCTGTCTGTCTGTCTTTCTTTCTTTCTTTCTTTTCTTTTCTTTCTTTTCTCCCCAATTGTCTGCTGTGATCGGCGTTTTGTTTGCCGCTGCTGCCTTGTCTTCTCCCCAGCCAAGCGCGACATCGCCACGACTTCCATATATACATTCAAGCCCCATTGGCGATGCTTCAAAAACAGGAGTCGTCATCGTGGAGTCATGGAAAAAGCCTCGCGACTTCAACATTGGAGTCATTGCCTTCAAGCTGCCGCGGCTTCTTCACCCGCGTTTCATCACAAGCGCACACGGCAGCGGCACCAGCACCCAAGTTCCCAACCGCACCCTCCACCGGCACCCTGCAACACCAGCACCCAAGCTCCCAAGCCCACACAGCAGCGGCACCCTGCAGCGGCACCAGCACCCAGGCTCCAAAGCGCACACAGGCCTCTCTTCCCATACTTGAAGTAAGAACACCAATAGCTCTCAGCAATTAAAAGCAGGGAGAAAGTGCAATCAGAGTATATAGATTGTGGACTCCAGCAACATTTCGATGGAATCAACCATCACCTTGCGGTTTAGGTCCACCCAAGGTCGTGGTCAAATCACATGATTGGCCGTGAGCATGCGCTATACTAATACGCCATTTGCGTAGTGGAGGGAGCTTACACAAACACAACACTCTTCTTGTACCTGCGGTTTTGTTTAAATGGGGATGCCGTAGTAAGCTCCCAGTAGCTTAAGTAGCTACCCAGGATGTACTCTCTGCTCAGGCTTCGCATTGAGCTAGATGTTTAGGAAAATTTAACAGAACATTTAAAACTAGAACAGAACAGTTGGGTTTGCAAACAAACAGGGCCCGGACCCCTAGGGCAGCACCAAAGTGGCCCCCTATGCGGCGCTTGCCTGGAGCACCTGAGCCAGGCAGTGACAGTGACTATCAAGTGCGCATTGGATAAGCATAGTCGTACGATATTGAAGCTCTGAGACCTGAACTCATATTGCTGCAACCGCGCCCCCACCAGCTAGTTGAGACGAGTGAGGAGTGCCAATGACTTCAAGCAGTGCTTGTCAGGGAGTCAAGAAGTACACCCGTATGTACGAACTGTTGCACTGAATGAGTTTCGAGGGTTCAGCGTTGAATCATGATCGGCCAAATAAAGGGTGAAGAATGTGTTGGCTATTGCCCAGTGCAGTGCAAAGAATTGTCTTGTACCCGCGGTTAAAGGTGTCCATTCGCGTGTAAATTTTGCATGTGTATAGATCTAATATATATATATATATATTGTGCATGCAGTGCTCGTCGCCTTACGGACCACTCCGGGGAGGGCGGGTGCGGAGACTTGAGCGGAACAGGACAAACCTATGAGAATTCTGATTGGTAGCGGAACCCCCAATGAGGGGGCACGTTTTCATTTGGTATTTGGTGTTCACTTCATTTCACGCGGTCGTGATTGTGTGAGCCGTGCCGTGGGGTACTGCGGGTGCAGCGAAAAGCTAGCTCCGAAGGTGGTGGCGGTGAAAGCCGCAGTGGCTTGGCAACTAGTCAGTTGCCATGGAACCAGATCCCTAGCTTCACGGCTGGTGAATCTGACCTTGAGGACTATGCAAAGAAGCTGATGTTCCTGCATTCAATATGGCCAGAGGAATACATACATACATATCATATCCCATCTGGCACCTCGTGCAACGCTTTAAGATAGACCCTGATCGATTGAAGTCGAAGGAGGGCTGTGAAGCAATCCTATCAGGTAGGAGTTCAATGGGGGTGCTTTCAGAATGATCGCTATGTGAAGTAACGTGCATTGTTCCTTACAACCCAGCCGGATGAGTCAAATGACTCATACATCGCCGCCAGGCATGAAGCCTGCTTTGAGGACATCCTGAAAGACAAGGGAGTCACACTGGAAGAGATTAGAGTCTATGTGATGATCAGGCACTTTCAACCAGAGGTGACGAAAAGAAACGCATCATCGTGAACAACAAGGGCATCTTGACCCATACACCACCAGGGATGCTATGAGACTCTTGGGATCCAAGCTCTTCTAGGATCTCCATGGTGCTGGCACCAAGAAGTGGAAAACTTACGATGTCCACTCGGTTGATGACCAGGAGCCGGTGCTGTGTGCTTCTGCCGAAGAGGGATTTGATGAAGAGCATGCATATCAGGTCATGCTTGACCAGGGAGATGAAGATGCAATTTTTATACAGGAGTTTGAAGATCAAATCATCGAAGCGGTTGAGGAATCTGGTGATTTGGACAATTGTTTGCTGAGTTACCGGGAAGGCTACGTGAACGTGCTCGCCAGAGTGGGTTTTGGCCTCCTCGAGCACCAGGAAAAGGAAAAGGATTAAGTGGAAGAAGGGTGGAAAAGGTGGAGGCTTTCCACCAAGACGCACCCTGGCAGAGAGAATTGCCAACTCCACTTGCCGAATCTGCAACAAGCCGGGTCGTTGGAAACGGGAATGTCCCCAACAAGATCGAGCCGACTGTGCAGCAGAGATGACCACCATGGCCAAGGACGTCATGACCGAGAATCCCAAGCTCCTGGATGAGATGCAGGAGCGTACAAAGAAGTTTTGTTGTTTTCCTGTTTCCTCCAACCCTATAGTAGCGGCCTTGCTCCTAGTAGTGATGCCCTTTCTTACTAGTACGCGCAGACCAGTGCCCCGAGTCAAATGATGATCGAAGAGGACACTGAAAAGGTTCAGGAATTGCAGACCCAGATCGCCATCTTGCAAAGGGAGCTGGCCAAACGGCGACCTTCCGTGACCGACCATCCCGAAATTTCCTAAAAAGGGAGAAGAAAGGAATCATCAATTCGAGAGCTCCGAAATTGAACCCTAATGAGGCTCATGAAGTACATAAGCAGTGTCAGGACCTGATTAATTCATGGAGGATGCGTTCAAGGGGGACCACGTCAAACTTTCCAGGAATATTTTTAAATGATTCGGGGGGGGTGAGAGGGGTTTCCTGAAGTCTGCAGACAATTTCAGTAGTAGACATCTGTATGCTTGAGATCACGCGCATTCAAACAGACATTGAAAAATGCAGCAATCATCAACTCAGGAATCATTTAGTATGAACCCCCCTGTCAATAAATGATTGTGGGACAATGATTCAAGAAAAATGATTCCACCCATCGCCGTACCCCTAGAATTAAAGATTTTGTGTTACCCCCATATTAATTCTATCGAGCACGGGTTGTCCAGATTTCCAAGGATTCTTTTTGCTGAACATGACATGCCTCATTCAGTAGGTTCAGACCAAGGACACAATCGGCCCGTTGACGTCCTGGAGGTGTACTGTTTCAGAACTCTCAATTAACACAACAGGTCAATGGCTTAGGCGGGAAGGCATTGCGTTTTTCGAGAGAAGTTGGAGACCTGTCTACACCCGAAGACTTCGAAGGAGTCAAGAAATTGTGGACCTGGATCAAAATGAACCCACCCACATCTGGGCATCGCCTGATTGTAAGTATTGGGGGCGATTCTCCAGATTGAACATGACCCGAAGATACCCCAAGTAGCGAATCCAAAAGAAACATTTTGTCGATGCGGGAAAGAGAAAGACGACATGTGTGTTTGTGTAATGATTTGCATTGGCATCGAGTATGTTTGGCAAGACATGTTCACCTCGAACAACCAAATCGATCAGACGTGTTTTAGCAAGAAGAAGTATATGATTTAGCGACAGGAACGATGCCGACATCACTTGATCAATGTCAGGTGGGTGGATTGCGATTGCCTCAGGACGATCGTTCCTCCGGAAGAGAACTGTCGCGCACACCACTTCCAGGCATGTCCATTCCAAACTACATCACAGATGGTGTCTACATGATCATGAACATCGACGCATTGAAGGAAGTTTTACTCACCAAGGAGTCCGACAATCCATTTCAGACTGTGCTGCTCACTACACGAAAACATTTGCCAAAACGGTAGCCAAAGCTCTTCTTACTTCCATCAAACTTCTAGAGGATCCCTTCAGAAGAATTTTTTGCTGGTTTGGACACTTCCGAAAGTGGGCACAAACGATCTTGAGAATCCCGAGAAATTGTGATGAATTCTCTCCAGAAAACCTGCCATCCTGGGAACAAATCACGCAAGGGGTTTCAAAGGAGACACCTCGAGTGGGCGTTCATTGTATCAGAGATAGCCCCTTGAAAGAACAGGTTCAACAGTTGATCCCAGAGATGCAGGTACAATTAATGATTGCTTGCCGAGGAACCGGCCGCTTTCGAATTCCCAACAAAAATGAAAGTGTGAGTGGTCTGACTTTAAGGAAAACAGAGTCTACGTCCACAGAGTTTCTGGAAGTGATCGATGTTGGGGCACCAGAAGAATGGCAAAAAATGTCCAGAACCAGACAAGTAGCAAAATGTGGCCCTGCTCGTCTATCCCTTACCATATTTGGCTCCCAAATCCATTCCGAGGCAAGTTGCAACCAGTCATGATATCATGACTGGCAATTTGTCTAGGGACCTGTCCAGAAAAATTGATGACAGGGCATGGGCACCTCGACAAGTGGCAGTTTCCGGGCCAGACTTTCTTCGATTGACTTCTGAAGAGAAGGCAGACATCCAGAGGTTGCATCAGAATTTGGTGCATCCCAATCCAGACGTGTTTCAGAAGTTGTTGAAGGAAAGGAAGGCCACTGAAGCTGTTCTGGCAGGTGTCAAAGATTAACAATGTCCCACATGTGCAGAAAACCAAAGTGCCCCCCCTCTTATCAGGACCTGGAAGCACCCATCGGGAACTTGATTTCAATGATGAGGTAGGGTAAGGGTTTTCACTTCATGCATTTTATTGATAAAGGGACATTGTTTCAAGTGGTAGAACCACCTCGGAACAAATTCGAGTATTTGAAGATGTGTGGTAACATCCAGGGAAACAAACACAAGTCCCACCCTCCTCCCAGTCAAACTGTTTTGACACCTAGGTTTGCTGCTGAGTCTGAGGTAAGGAACGCCACCCATCTCAACCCACATGTCATTCGAATGTGGGTACTCAAGTGAGATTGGTGCATGACAATGTGCCCCCTTCTTACCTGCAGTTAATCTCAGAATCCGAATCGGACTCGGAGCAAGCGGAGGAGGTTCGAATTTCTGGGTGGCATTTAGGGCACAACTTACCAAATGAATTATCAGGAACTTTTGGCGGTGCAGTTGTCCTGACGCATGATTTCAGCGCGAACGGCCAACCGCAATTCGTCTTCCAATGAAAAGGAGGCGTTCCAAAGCTAATTACGGCCAGGTGTCTCACACCTGAGTCTTCGTTGTCTGTCGATCGTCCACAATTCAGTCTGCGGCCGATCTTCTAAAACAATTGCGACTCCATCTAAACATTCACGAGTTTCTTCCATGTCCCTTTGCAGCGCTCTAGTCTGCTCTCGGACTCTATCGAGGTCAGTGTTCTGCTTGTCAAATTCAGCGATCAACCTGTTCAATCCAACCTTCAAGTCCAAGTCACTTCGGTTGTCGAGTGCTCTCGACCTTGCGCTCGGGCCATCAAGCCTAGACGACTTCAACCCTGCTTTTGCCAACCTGCCAGCAAACCCTTCGAGGGGGCTTTCAGCAATGTAAGTCAACACTGCGTCCGACCCCCATCTACCTATGAGCTGAATGGTGATGGGGTCAAGTCCGTTGCTGGCCAAGCATCTTGCGCCCGTGATTCTGAAAGAGTGTCCGCTGACGGTCCATGCGCCATCCTTTGCCACAGCTGTTCCGCCCGACATCTCGATGGCCTTCCTCAATGTCGCGGTGACACCAACCTTCGAACAATAGCCCCCGTCAGCATTGGGAAACAGTGGGCTCTCAAGTTCCAAGCACTCGCCCCGCGACCTTCTGAAGTCAACAAGCGACTCATGGTGACGACGAAGGATGTGAAAGACACATGGCAAGCGTGTGTCACAGGCACAAGTCCACGATCTCATGCACCCTTTGGCTCTCCAGTCAACTTTGGAGACAGGGAGATATTCAACGACACCACATTGGCCGACAATGTGAGGTCTGCCACGTCCAATGCCGAGGCCTCCACTTCTCTCAGCATGAACATGGTTGCGCAAACAATGAGGCTCTGAACATGTACTGGCCCTTCGTTGTGAAAGGGGCCATCTGATTCTTCAAGGGCTCCAACAACTTTAGCCAGCTCGAAGGCCTCCGACCTTGATGCGCCAGCCAGGCCCCTGAGGACCGACCTAGAACACTTCCGTGCCAGAATGTCCAATCTGTCAGTCCAAGGGTGTCCTA